TAATGAAATAAAGGATCACATTTGCTTTATTCAGAGTCGTGTTCATAAAGTAAAGAAGTTATGCTAAATTGCTTATCAGACTTTGGTCAAGTCTCAGCTTGGGTTTTGATGTAATTTTTGCCTGAGACTTTGAGTGGTATTACAACTAGAAATTTTGGATAGCAAGGTCAAGCAGCAATTGCTGCCTTGTAGAGACACACAGATGCAGACACATAGGCACATGGATATACACATTTATGCGTACACATACACAAGCACACACGTATGTCTTATGACCACCACACACACCTCTCACAGTGGGACTATGACTATTTCCAAGCCTTGAAGTTGGGTCTTTGTGGGGAAAGTGTTTGGGAGTCACTGCCTTAAAGGGTATAGATGTGATTTACTAGAATGCTATCAGGAATGAGGATCTAGTCAAATGGAGACTAACAATCGAAAGAGAATTGGATGAATACTCAAACAAGTCACATTCACAGGGCGAAGGGCAAAGAGCAAGGCTGGGCCTTTCGAATTCCTCTGCACAGAGCTGGTAAAGGTACCCCGGATTAATCCAGACCTTTTCATATCACTATGAAACTTCTTATTAGGATGGAATGAAAAATTGAGGAACTTGGTTATAGTTTGAAGAGATTAGTCATTCAAATACATTGCCTAAAGCTGTTCACACTGTTGGTGTTATCCTCCTTCCATTGATGTGAATAAAAAGAAGCCTCGCATATAAGAAACAGACTTGATGTTGAAATCAATGACTGTTCTTCAGATCTTTTATTTATTTTTCCTTCAAATTTATCAGACTTTCTCTTATATGTATCTGTTCACCTCAGCTTTTTCTTGTGGTAGTTAATTCTACTCTCCAGCTAAATTCTATATTTCTGCCACACTTTGCTTAGTGGATCTCATACTGCAGAATGAGAGGTGATACTTATCGTTGGCAAATTGATGGCGGAGCCGCTAATCTGAAACTGCCCTTGGATACATAGATTTTCCTCCACAATGCTGCTGTGTGAAGCTATGAAAACCCCATTGTAAAACATCACACAAAACAAATGTGTCAGCAATGTAGGGGATTACAAGGTATTTACTTCTCTAAGAGAAACCATAAGTAATGTTACTGTTATATTTTCTCTATGCATATATGGGTTCCTGAATTCTAGAGAGGCATCCCTTTCATGTCAAGAGCTTCACTGAAGTCTGTGCAGAATTATTAAATCAGAAACAGTAGCCACTGCTGTCCGTCTTTACACCCCACAAACCACCCCATTCCCACTCTAATTATGTAGCAATATGAATCCCTAATTCGAGGATATTGCCTCTTTTTATCTACCATCAACACACCTATGCTTTAAAGGATGCCACTGGTCTTTTCCCCCTCTAAAAGTAAGTTCTGGATTCACCCACTGCTCTTTAAGACAAAAGCATCAGCAGTTCTTGCAGAATGCTATAGCCCCAGAAAGGAGCAGCACCCTTTTCTCAGTCATCAAAGTAAGCAGAGAAGACACATGGCTGATATCCTTCCCCTGCCTGTTCTATGCTTGAGGGACTGGTTAGAAAGGAAGTGTGGCTCTACATTTCTGAAGGAATCCCAATCAGAATCTCCTATTAGAAATGTGGAGCTTTTTAATTACATTTTTAAAAAAGGATTGGAAAGATAATCTGTGTGACATTGACATCTCAGAAAATTCAACCCAATTATTTGCTACAAAATCATTGAGAAGGGGCATTTTATGTACCTATTCTACATGAGTAGTGTACAGAATAGAAAACAGGGTTGATTTATGTAACTGCTATATCTAGCAGACCAGATTTTCTTTGTTTATCATATGAAAATGTATTACTTAAATCATTAATACAGAACAGTTCTACAAATAAATAGTAAATTGAGTTGCTATTGACTGGAATTTTCTGAAGTACAATATTTTAGGTTTGCAATAGACTGAAGGGGATTGTTCCAGCTATGTTTGCAGGACTTGATTTTAGCTGGCTTTTTAATATTTTGACAACTGATAAATACTTAGGTAAAAGAATACTGAAAGTACATTTTGGTGAGATTTCCTTGTACTTTTAGAATTTAAGACAAATAAATAAACTTACTCTTTAAGCTATTTCAAGGTAAGTAACCTTTTTGATGTTTCCTACTTTTATTTTTAGGGTATTTTAATGAAAATAGTAAGTGCTGAATTTAATATTCTAGTCCCGGACATTTTCAATTACAGGATTCCCAGCATGAGAAACCTACGTTTGTGCAATTTTAATGAACTATTGAAGGCTTTGAAACTTTTGTCGTAAATTTAGACTTTTCTTTCCCCCATCAATTTGCTGCCTTTCAGCCACTTCGTCTAAAATCATGTTGTTTGTTTCCATATAAATATTTTTGATACCTAGCTCTATCTCACCTGCACCTCTCTTTGTCCTTCTGTCTCTAAGTGGTCTGTCTGCTTATCCAACATCCAATCTTGGATGTGCAGAAATTTCCTCCAAAATTGGTGGATATTGCCACTGAATCCCTCCTCCCTGGCTACAGTGTTAAATTGAACCAGACCGTTCATAACCTTGGTATTACATTTGACTCCCAAGTGGGCTTACCACATCATCTGTCCTGTGGTAAGACCATTTTTATCTGCTTCCATGTCAGTTATTTCTGATTTTGTCTCTGCTCGTTTATTGCTGAAACTCTCAACATGCCTTTGTTTCCTTTGGGCTTGATATTCCAAAACACTTACAATTGGAACATTTGTTTTAAAGATGCTGTATCAAATAACATTGTGCATAGAAAGCACAAAATGGTTGATGTTGTCTACATGGACTTCAGTGTAGCCTTTGACAAGGTCACTCATGGCAGACTGGTCCGAAAGGTGAAGTCACATGGTATCGGGGTGATCTGGCAAGATGGATACAGAACTGGCTTAGTCGTAGGAGATAGAGGGCAGCAGTGGAAGGATGCTTTTCGAAATGGAGGATTGTGACTAACAGTGTTCCATAGGCATCAGTGCTGGGACTTCTGCTGTTTGTGGTCTACATAAATGATTTGGAGGAAAATGTAACCGGTCTAATTAGTAAGTTTGCAGACATTACAAAGATTAGTGGAGTTGCAGATAGTGAGGACAATTGTCAGAGGATACAGCAGGAAATAGATCAGTTATGCTGCACCTTTATAGAACTTTAGTTAGGCCAAACTTGGAATAGTGCATACAGTTCTGGTCACCACACTACCAGAAGAATGCGAATGCTTTGGAGAGGGTACAGAAAAAGTTTACCAGGATGTTGCCTGGTATAGGGAGTTTTAACTGTGAACAAAGGTTGGATGGATTGGTTTGTTTTCACTGGAATGCAGGAGATTGAGGGGTGACCTGATAGAAATTTATAAGATTAGCTAGAGTTGGAAGTATGTGGCCTTTTCCCAGGGTGGAGGGGTCAGTTACTAGGGGACACAGGTTCAAGCTGCAGGGAGACACTTTAAAAGAGATAAGCAAGGCAAGTTCTTTTTTCTCACAGGCGAGTGCCTGGAACACGCTGCCAGAGGAGGTGATGGCAGCAGATACAATAGCAGTATTCAAGAAGCATATAGATGAATACATGAATAGGAAGGGAATAGAGGGATACGGATCTGGTAAGTGAAGACAGTTTTAGCAGGAAAGGCAAAATATATCGGCACAGGCTTGGAGGGACAAAGGGTCTCTTCCTGTGCTGTATTGTACTTTATTCTATCTGATCATTCCCCTCCTTTAGCTGATATTCCCAAACTGTCTTGGAAGTAATTCTGAAGTCTGCTTTTAACAGTAATAAATACTATTCTTGGCTGTCTAAGATCCAAATATACTAATTGAGTAGCTGGAGTATCAATTCAAGCCATTTGATACTGCTGTAGAAAAATAATCCAATTGTAGCTGTTGTTTTCCTCCAAATCATAACATTGTTAATTGCAGCATCGATGTGCCTCCTGTTCCAGTAAGGGTAATGATTTGCATCGGCCAGTATTGTGTGAGAACAGATTTCAAAACTGCAGACCGTTGTCTTTTCCTAGCCATGGTATTAGTGGGCTTGTGAAGAGCATGGATACAAACTAAGCAGACTGCATCAACTTAAATAAAGAATGTCTGTGGGAAATGCCATCTAGCTTCCAACATTAAGCCCTGTTAATGCAGTGACATGAACATTAGCAGTGAGAAATCTAGGATATGTGATAGGTATTTTATTGTTTGATGAGAATGCGGGTTTGGTCTTGCCCAGAAAGGAAATGATTGAAAAATACTCAAAAGAATCGTGGATGCTGGAAATCTGAAACAAAAACAGAAATTGCTGGAAAATCTCAGAAGAAGAGTCACTGGACCTGAAACGTTAACTCGGATTTCTCTCCACAGATGCTGCCAGACCTGCTGAGATTTTCCACCAATTTCTGTTTTTTGTCTAAAGGAAAATATTGAGGAAGTTTGGAAAGAGAATAGCTTGGGTTCTCACTTACCAATATTATTTGATTACTTCTGGGAGCCACTGGAGATTTATTCAAGTTTGGCATTGTTTGCAAATGTCCCATATCAGAAATTAAATGAAAACTGCTATAATTTGTCAATGTTATCTAAAATTCTACTTTTATGTGACAAGATCATGGAAGCAAACGTCATCAGAGCTTTCAATATTTGATTTTTATTTTTAAAGGCATGTTTTACATTGTTGTGATTTTTGAGAGTGCTTTGTGTTAAAGACTAAATTAGTTGTCCTTGATTTTTAAAAAGAAATATTTGAGAACTAAGTTATGATGATGTTTGGCATGCAGAAACATTTTCCAACAGTCCCCACACTACACTAGAGTACATTGACCAATTTTCCCTGTAGGCAGTGTGTCTTCTTATGATTCATCAGTTATAGTATAGGGTTTTGTATGAAATATTTACAGGGTAGTCATTGGATGCAAAACTGATTCATCATTAAAATATTTCAATGTGTTAAATAACTAAGAGACACGAGAATGTTTTTTCTGAGAATTTTCTTGTTTTTCATTAGGAGAAGCAGTTGTTACCCAACCAGCACCTGGTTCAGCCAACGAAACCACTGATGAGAAACAGCAGGTGCAAATGCTGGTAAGAGAATTTAAGGGATTTTGCCACCTTTCATTACTAATGCCCTTGAGCTTATAAACTAAACAATTGCAGCAATGATTATTAAAACAAGGATGTATTATAAAAAGCTCCATCAGCTTCCTGATTGCAGTCTCACCATACCAATGACTTTTAAAATCATAATGGTTATTTGCTAACATATGCCATGTTAACAGTTTTATGACATCGAAATCTTCATCCCATTCTTACATGCAGATGTTGCATTATAATGAGGGTCAGGTTAAAATTGTCCTGCCTATACTTTTAAAGCCTGCAATTTGTTTGTTTTCTATTGACTGCTGTTGGGTGCTTAATGGAAGTACAAATAATTAGGGCTGTGCATGATATTCCTTTTGGGTATCAAATTCTTACTGCATTGGTACTTCAATTAACTTATTAACAATTGCAAATTAAGCTTATTTACATGTTATATTTCAAACATGTTCCATTCAAATCCAGCTTTTTTCTTTGAGCTATTTGTGTGCCAATGGGCTCATAATCACAGGTTAAAAATGTGCAGTTTTGGGTTTATTCCTGAAGCTTTCCTGACCTTCTCAGTTTTACCCAATATTTGAAATTACAGGGGGGGGTTCTCCTATAATGCATGTTCCAGCAACAGGAATTGGCTATAAGACGATTGACGAATAGGGGAACGGTATTTGTACAAAGCGAACTTTGTGTTGGCTATAATGCGATCCTGACAATGTTTGTTTTAGTATTAGAGAGCTGCGACAATAATGCGGAAACACAAGTGTGTGACAACATAAGAACATAATGTTCTTATCGTATTATTTTGAAAAGTGACATCAAGATCATTTGGATTATTGTTTGTCATGTAACAAATTTCAACCTTTCAAATTCACAATCGATTGGAATACCAATCAGATTGATAAAAATAATAGAATTAAGCCTCAGTCTAAACTAGGCAATTGGTTTCTCAAAGAATAATCATGAGAAAACAGCTTGAGGAAATAAATGGTTGACAATGTCCAGTCAATGTGGGATGGTGACAGCTCATGTTGTTAGTGACAACATAGTGTAACTGCACATTGGGTAGTTTTGCTAGTGACTGGGAGATGCTGCCAGTGAGCGGGTGATGTTGATTGCCAGTGACTTAAGTGTTGTTGATGTTACTGACAGGTAAACGGTCTTGCCCATGAATGCATTCAGTTGTTGCTGTCTGGGCGATGCTGTTGGCAAGTGGCTTGATATTGTTCCTAATTGGGCTTTGCCGTTGCCGGTGTTGTAAAGTTGGTGATTGGCGTTTTCTCCAATGACTTAAGTGATGCTGCTGGAGATTAGATAGTTATTCTCGGTGACTGGTTTTTGCTGCTGGTGTTTAATGCTGCTGAGTTGTGATGGTGTTGAGCACTGGGTGATATTATTCTAGGAAATGTTGGATACTGCTGGTGTCCTTGTGTTTCTGTTGGAGGCTGGATGCTGTTGGTGACAATAGGTTTTATTTTGCTGTCAAAAGGATGCTGTCTGTGGTAGTTCAGACTTACTGCTGATAGGTGATTATTGCTGCTGGTGGTAGCAGAATGTGGCTGAGGGCTTGCTATTCGTGATTGCGACTGAGTGACGATGAATGTCATTGTACGTTTGCACTCAAACTTCAATGTGTTGTTGGTGCGTGGAAGGTAAACCTACAGCTGTAGTGATGAAGAATCTGTAAATCTGCTCATTACTGTCTGCTTCTTCAAACTGTGATGCTTTTAGCTGTAAACTGAACTCTGGCGCTTTATTGATTGTCTCACTTCTATTGAATTAATAATGCTACTTGCAACTGGATGATGCCAGTGCTGGATGAAGCTAATGCTGATGACTGGAGCCAAGACTTATAGGAGAGTAGTGAGGAAGAATTTTGAGTGATACTTTTTGGTGGTCTGCCCATAACCCTGCTTTTCCCATAGGCCCCATTATTTATATATCATGATTGTCTGTAACATGATGTACTGAAACGCAACTATCGTGCTATAGCAGAACCTCCTGTAGTTTTGTTTCTTTCACTTCCCATTATGTCTCACTTTGTCAACATAACAGTTATTGCTTTTCAAAATAAAAGTGGTATGTGCTATGTTTTAGGCTATATGGGGTTAAAAGAAAACAATTTTATTCTGTTCCTCCCTCCCCCCCGTTTCAAAAAAAATTTAATTCCAACCAATTATGTACCAATTGTTATATTGAATTAATTTGCCATAATTTGAAGAGGAATAGGTGAAGTGTTTGATCAATTACAATAATAAATGTGAGGTACTGCATTTTGGTACGACAAACAAGGGTAGAGCTTATACAATTAATGGTTGGGCCTTGGGTAGTGTTGTAGAACAGAGGGACCTAGGGGTTTCAGGTACATAACTCTTTTGAAGTTTGTGTAACATGTAGACAGGGTGGTTAAAAAGGCATTTGGCAAGCTTGTCTTCATGCTCCTTCCTTTGACCATAAGAGTTGGGACTTCACCTGATGAAGGGGTTGTGCTCTGAAAGCTTGTGATTTCAAATAAACCTGTTGGACTATAACCTGGTGATGTGTGACCTCTTCTGGAGTACTGTGTCCAGTTCTGGTCGCCCAGTCATAGGAAGGATATTATTAAGCTGGAGAGGGTTCAGAATAAATTTATCAGGATGTTGCCAGATTTAGAAGGTTTGAGTTATAAAGAAAGGCTAGATGGGCTGGGACATTTTTCACTGGAGCATAGGCAGTTGAGAGGAGACCTATAAAACTTTATAAAATAATCGGGGGTATATATGAGTTAATGGTAGTTGTCTTTTCCCAAGGATGGGGTATTTCAAAACTAGGAGGCACATTTTTAAGGTGAGAGAAGAGAGATTTAAAAAAGATACGAGGCAAATTCTTTACACATTCACATGTAGAATGAACTTTCTGGGGAAGTGGTGTATGTGGGTACAATTATAACATTTAAAAGATATTTGGATAAGTACGTGAATAGGAAAGGTTTGGAGGGTTATGGGCCAGGAGCAGATATTTGGGAACAGTTTAATTTGGGATTCTGTTCGGCATGGACTGTTTGGACCGAAGGCTCTGTTTCCATGCCGAATGACTCTGTGGCTCTGAATTCCTGCCATAATGCTGGCTTTCTGACAATTGTTTCCTTGTATAATGAATGAATTGTTAAATATCTAGAACCTTAGCTGTTTGCACAAAATACGAGGTTCTGACTTTGGGACATTTATTTTCCTGAATCCAATTCAATAGTCCTGTCCGATAATTTAAGTCAGTGTGTCTGCTTTTGCATTTGTGCTGGGCATATACTGTTTTAACTTTTTTGTTTTCCTTTTTAGGTGTAAATATCCCAATCGTAATTCAGCCGCAGCCAGAATGACCAAAATGTGAATCAACTTAGTAGTCTTCAAGCCAAATGTCTTCCGACAGAAGCGATACATGAAAACACAGGATCTGAAAATTCATGTTAAGCATACATGTTTGAGCAGGATTTTGAAAATTAATTTTAACAAAACATGTACATATTGTATAGTTCGTATTTTTCTGAAGGATCCTGACACAGCCAACACACTTGTAAATTTGTAATGTATTATACAATCTACATTTGTGTTATTTCCAACTACAGAACAACTGAAACATTCTTATGGGATATAATCTATTTTAAACAAAAGGGTGATGACTTTTTTTTTAATTTCTGCAGACTTTTTTAAAAACAGGTATAACAATGTAATAAGTCTTATCGGACTGAAATCTTTACTACTTCAATCTTCATTCCATTGAAACAGATGTCTGAGTTTGTAAGTGAATAAAAATGGTAAGTAATTTCAAGTTGCACTGATTTAGGCTTTCAAATTACTACATTAGCTACTGATAAAACACTGCTAATTGAAAAGAGAATGTTGTACATATATGTTGTACATGTTTTTGGGCAAAGTGCATTCTTATTATGTTTACCACCAAAACCAGTCCTCTTCTGAAGTGTGCAAAATGGTAACCAAAACAGATTTGGTCTGGGAATAGTAGATGTCTTGAACATTTCAGTTTTAGTGGATTAGAAAAAGTTCTTTCATTGTATAGAGGAAGTCAAATGTGTAGGTATAGAACAGGTTTGCGATGTGTAGCACCTTTTGATTTGATCAGATAGATGCTTTTTATTTGAATGTTGCAACCTATTAGAATGAATTTATATTAAAATTGTTCCTTCATCAGGTGATAAACCTCTATGCATTTGCTGAAAGTTATTCGATAAAATTTTTCTTCTAAAAATGGCTTTGACCTAATAAGAATGTACTCTGTACAACTGTGCACTTTTGATTCCTGATTGATATTTGTGCCAAATAAGGTTATATACTTTTGACTCGGTGGATTTAGTTATCAGGACTGTATGTGGAATATATTGTTACTAGCTAAATTGCAGTTATAAGATTCATTTCATTGCTTTAAAACAAAATATAATGTGGCCAAAAATTTAAATCTCTTAGCCATAGAAGATAAGCGATATTTAAATCTGCAGTACATTTAGTTGTGTACCTAGTGCTGCTATGTATTATCGGAATTTTAATTTATTGGAAGTTTTGAATAATCATTTATTTGTTCAGACTAATGTAATATTGCATTCTCATTTCTCTCCCATGTCTTTTACAAAGTAACTTTTACCATTGAATATGTAGATCAATTTTTGATTTCCTGACATTGGATTTATCACTCTGTCAGGCATTTGCCTTGTGTGACAATGGTTTGGGACCTTGATGGTCAATTCCGTGTTACTGAAACTGGAGTGACCTCTTCAGGCAACAAGCCTGAGCAAATTTTAAGGAGGCCCAGGCTACTCAAATGTCAGGATCTCCCCTGACTTCCTTGGTTGGGACCAAAGGAATTCAGAGATTACGTTTCACACGTTTTCAGGAATTGCCAGAAAGCTGAGAGTTAGGCAACAATCCAGCTTTGGCCCCACTCCAGACTTTTTTCTCAGGGTTTGCTCTCTTAGCCTTTATTTCTCCCAAGGTATGCACAAACATTGGAGCTATTTGTCCACAGCTGGGTGTTTGGTTCATAAATGCATGGCATGTCCACACACTGGACTTGCGTGCTGCATTCTGGGGGCCAAATATCCTCCATATTCTCTGAAGCTTTAGCCCAAGGCCAGAGGTTTCCTCAGTTCCACTTGTGCCACATGGACTTGGCAACGGAAAGGCTGTGTACCAACAGGAATAGATTAGCACTTTTAGATTTCCTTTCTGAATTACTGCGAACCAGTGAAAGTGAGAAGCACATTAAAATACAAAAAGCAAGAAATAAGTTAACTTCTCCATCTACACACTAAGCACATCATGTCAACTTGCTGTACGCACCCATTAACATTGAATCTTTCACAGAATTGAAAATACCCACAGCGTAATATTTAATGGCTATTAATTACTAACCTGCAACAACAGGTTTAATAAGTTTCATATAATTTAACTGTACAAATACAAGGCTAATTCATTTTTATGTTAAGGATGTCTTTCTTCTATCCTTTAGCAAATAGTGAAAGTGGATTTCTCTATGCTCTGGCAACATCTGAGTGAGGGAAATTTTGTTTTAGTGAGCCATTAACTCAAATATGATTTTCTTTTGAGTTGGTAGCCATGCATGATTACTGATGACTTTTGTTACATGGGTGAATTCTACAAATGTCATATATGTTCCAATTGCAACTACAAATTTTTTCTGCATTTTTGAATTTTTTTTTACAGTAGTTATTGAAAATAATGTCATTGGAATTAATAGTGAAATTTAAAAAGTAGACCAAAAACTGAATTGAGTTGCTATGATGTGCCACTGATCAATTGCAGTTTTTTAAGTCCTTTCAATTCAGAAGTAACTAACTCTTTATATTGCTAGTAGACTGTGGGTAAACAGCCATATAGTTAAAAGCTTTAAAAATTGAGACCTGCAAAACAAGTTTTTGTTCTGTCTCAAAATAGTCATTGTGTATGCCAAATACTTTTGCCCCCCACAAATCGTGACATGTATATTTAATTGATGCACGCAGCAGAATTGGCCACTTTTTATTGGTCTATGTAATTGTAAATACTGGAACCTATATGCTACATTTATTATACTGAACTTTTAAAATAATAATTTTACTACTGTGCATAAAGTTACCATACTTGTGTATTTTCTAAAGTATATGTTTACAGCTAACAAACCTTAGTAATGGAATTTGTTCTGTCATACACTTTTTAAGACAGAGAATGAGTCTGGTGGAAAGATCTTCAAAGGTGCAGTGTATTATAGCAAAATACTTTTAGTACTTATTTGAAATTTCTTGAGCTCACTGATTAATTCAGGTTTCAAAAAAGATTATGCCACATGTAAATGTGAACATCAGATGAAAATTTTTATATATTTGCATTTTGCTCATTTCAGATCCATCCCAGAAAATGAGTAGTATTCCAATAGGCACATTAGTCTACTAATCCTCTGAACGTTTAAATTAGCATCTAATTAGAATTTTGGGGAAAACCTGTCCTGTTAAGTAAATGAACACTCACTAACTAAAGACAGTTTGTCTGCATGAGTGTTTGCTTGGCATTGTTTGGGGATCAATACCGGAGAGTTGCATCAATGTATAATACTGTATGAAAATAGAATTAATTCTTTTAACATTGTCATCTTGCAAATTTATGTAAATCACTTTTCCAAAGTGTGTGCTTTTCACGTGATTATCATTACTGTAGATGAACAATGTATATGACACTTTTTGCCCAATATTGGTTATACTGTATCATCATCTGCAACTTAAAGCTGTCATTTTGTAAATAAACACTTTGAATTTCTATGATCCACAAAAAAAGGGTTAATGTTGATATCCACATAGCCTAATTTGTATGTCATGCAGTGATTACAGCAGCAGCTTTCTTAGCAATTACAAGATTAATATTTGTCCAATTGTAGTGTATTTAAACAGGAATCAATTGTTCTATGCTGAGACATGTTATATCTCATCCTTTAGCTGTGGATAAAATCTTCTTTTAACATTTGAGAATTATTGCTGCTTCAAGTTTAAGATGCAAAGTTAATTTGGTAATGAGGGTCTAGTTTGCCAGTCCTACTCTACCCACTTTTTAAAAGCATAGTTTCTTTTTGAAGGTAGGGTTAGAGTAATGAAAATTCTTCTAGCACAGCTGAGTAACACGGTCAGGATATTCAACCAAATCTGAGTGAATTTTTGACTACTTTAAATTAAAGTCTGCAAAGATTTTACACACACTCATGGATTGTTCCTGGCCTATAATTTATTTTTCATACAAAGAATTTGCATAAGAAAGCGGTACATCATTTTTATAATGTAGATTTTTTTTCCCTCCTGTGCTTTACACATCCTTTTGGAGTCCACATTTCTGTTGCAACGTTGTCATGAACTGTAGGGAGCCCGACCTGCTTTGAGTGTTGTATCACCTAAGTGTTTGCCCTTTAAAATATAATTGACGTTAATGTTGTTGAATAATGTGATTATATGTTTTTAATCCATACAAACCAAAACTTCAATCAGTGGAGCATTTATATAATGTTGAAGGGGAGGCAATAGTCTAGTGGTATTATCACTGGACTGTTAATCCAGAGATCCAGATAACATTCTGGGCACCCGGGTTTGAATCCTGCCACAGCAGATAGTAGAATTTGAATTCAATAAAATATCTGGAATTAGGAATCTAATGATGACCGTGAATCCATTGTCGATTGTCAGAAAAACCCACCTGGTTCAATAATGTCCTTTAGGGAAGGAAACTGCCATCCTCACCTGGTCTGGCCTACATGTGACTCCAGACCCACAGCAATATGGTTGACTCTGAACTGCCCTCTGGGCAATTAGGGAAGGACAATAAATGCTGCTTGGCCAGTGACATCCTCATCCCATTAATGAATAAAAAAAAAAAGAAATAATATTAGAAAGAAAACAGCGCATTTGGGCTGGAAAGCAAAAAAAGTTAGAGACATTTATTACCTTAACCTCTTTAACCTTCTATAATGTTAATTCATCTTTCCTGAATATATGCTCAGAGTTCAATATGGATGCATGAATTCTGCATCCACATTTGTTTGAAAGTTTTCTGAAAAGAAAATCTACTATCAACATTTAGCTGATAAAATTGAATTTGGAAATCTGTGTTTCTACGGCATAGTCAGAGGGGTACAGCTCTCTTATGGATTTTTTTTTCTTTATTCATTTACAGGATCTGGTTCTCAGCCATACACTTATTGATTCACCCACTAGAAATCCAAATTGTATTTTTCTTGGAAATTGCACATTTACAACCAAACCTCATTTTAAAGCAACGTTTTAAAAAAAAAAAAAAAAAAAAAAAAAAATTTAATCTATGTTGGCAGTATAACCTAGCCTGTTGGGCTTCACTTATTCCTCTAAAGAAAATTCTGTCTTTAAGGAATTTTTTTCTGTTTGTGCACGCTAGTGGAAATGATTAGTAACTGATCTGCCAGAATAATTGTAACAGGAAAAACTGTTGGATTTTTAATTGAGGATGTGCAGTGATCAGGACATGTACCCTTAAGGGAGAGAAAAAAAAATATGTTTACTTAGCGAAAATATCCTCATCATTCATGGGAGATGATGGCAAAGTCACACAAGTTATCTGTAGCAGTAAATGTTAGATCACCCTCTTATGCTGCCATTTAATCAAAATGATGATTGGCAATTTGAACAGCAGTAATATATTTTCACAGTGTATCTGTGGTTAACGGATCAGGATATACTTTGTATTAAACCATGCCATAGCACTGCTGTATTGGGGTATAGAAATATTGTAAAATGTATACTGCAGCTGTTGATCATCAAGCACAAATTTTTTTGCCAAATGAAAAGCTGGGCATTATAACTTCAGAGCTGGATTCTGTCTCCAATCCAGGTAGCAGTAAAATTGGATCACGTGAAAAAGCATTCATGCTTGGGCTTAATATCAAATAGAGTATAACTCCAGTGGAATATAAGTAATATTCAGGGGTCTGCATGCTCAATATTAAAAATTTAGCATCTGGAACTTACCTCTGTACATGAAGAAGCATGTAGATGTAGAGTTTGTTTAGTTGTTACGAATGGTATTTGAAGCCAGGCTGCTTGATCAGAACTATTCTGCAGGTATAGCTGTACCCTAGAATGAGGCAATATCAAAAAATAATTTTCCTATATATATCAAATATGGCCAAAAATAAATCAAATCATGAATTCATAACTTACTGCCTTTGGGGTTAAAAGTCAGATCATGTGCAATAGTGCTGTCAATTAATTTTGAGGTATTATGTAACTTTACCAGTCTTCATGTTGTCTTCAATGTTAGTAATATCTGAAATGTGAAAAAAGCTGGTATAATGTAATCACTGTCTAGTCTTCTCAGACATCATCCACAATTGAATAAATATGTAAGCATTACTAGAAGTATTTACTAAATTACTGGCGATAATAAATTACTTTGTTCCTTTCTAAAGCATTTAGGACTATTTGTTTAGGTGCAACAATTTTGGCACAGCATTTCTGGAATTGCACTAAATACGGTTTGCTCAATAATATCCCTGTAATGTCTTGTGCTAATGATTGGACATACTCTGTGATTTATTGGAATTGTTGTTCCTCAACAGTAAATATGTATACGTACAAAAATATTGTGCAAGTAGTTTTGAAACTTGATTTCAAAATTTATTCAAAGAAATTTAGTTGCTGCTTTGAATCACAAATGTAATGAAATGCAAGTTAGTCTGTTGTAGGGTTTGTTTCTTGAATTCCAAGTGTATAAGAGCATGTGCCATTTTGTTCTGTTCATCAAATTATATATTGTGTACTGTACTTCAAATTTTGCTGAATAGTTGTATTTTTGGGATGTCAAGCTCTTCATAAAATTAGCTTCTTTTTGGTAAACCATTTTAAAAGTGTTTCTGGCAGTTTTTTTTAAATAGTTTTCTGGACTACTTAATTCTTTGGGAATTGGTTCACTTGTGGCACATAGTAATTTGTGGTTAAATCAACTTGTAAGCTAAGAGATGAAGCTATTTAGGAAGATTGCTGTTTGGGAAAGAACGTTACTAACTAAATTTATATAGTGGCAGTATATCATTTATAATTTTGTTGATTGTATCCAACATAACACCTCAAATGATGGGAAAGCTACTCTGGAAAAGGTTAAATTCTTGGGTTACGGTTTCTGTTGTTCACTTTAAAAATCATTCATGTTTTTGAAGAGAAAATAATAAACTAAATCAAACCACTGAATGTAGATAAAGGCTGCTGTCTTGTTGCCTACATATACATCTCCATCAAAGGGTCTAAGGGAGATTTATTTTGCTTCAGTGTCATGATGAGAAATGTCCACTCATGGAAATGAAGTTAGATAATAATCAAAGGGCTTGGGTGTTTTTTTCAGCTTCATTATATAAAGGGATAATGATTTTCATTTATTGGGAACTGAGCGATGTTACAACTTGAATCTAGACTGGGCTATGTTCGGATTTAATGTGATCAGAATATATTTTGTACAATTTTCTCATGAATGACGACAATAAATATGGATTCGCAAGATGTTGTCTGGTATGTGTCATGGTTTAACCATTTTTTTTTCAGAGGAACAATACAGATTATACAGGCTATAATATGTCTATTGATGGATTTTACAATCACTTCCTGCATTTCTTCCTTCATCCTGACCCTCCCAAATTGTCAAATTGATTATTTTTGTTTCTTTACCATTCTTTCATGGGAAATGTGTATTACTGGCAAGATTGTCAACATTTGTCATCAATCATTAATTAAAATATTGATTGTTAAATGATGTCAGGACTTGATTTTTTAGGAAGGTAGGAAAAATCTATTCCAGTTTCTTTCAAGAAAAACTTAACCATGGGAATTAAATCTAATCCAAGTCAAGGAATTTCAGAGCATTAAAATGGGACAATCAGATGTAGGCTGAGATGCTGTTTCTGTTACAGCATAGAGACTGATTTGCCATCGAATCGTTCTTAATGTGGCATATCTTTACCTTGCACGTTCAGGTGGAGCACATATCCATGAAGACTTGGAGTTCTATTGCTTGGGCAGATGAATGACAAATTGGAGGACCAATTGATGTCGATTTAACATACTGCAAGGCCAGTCTCTAGAAATGAATTTTCATAAGACAGTGACTACAGATAATTAGTGAAAAAAAATGTGAACAAACAATGTTTGGAGGGAGGAACGGAGGTATTGATGCAGTACAAGAAATTTTAAAGGCTTGTATATAAAAGGAAGATGGTCTCTCTGGTAGCAGTCACCAAGTACTCAAAAAAGCGTACTGCCTTCCAGGGGGCAGGGCAAGGCACACAACTAGATGCAAAAAACTTTAAATAAGGAAAGAAACTAATCAGATGCTGTTGGTTTGTATTGAAATTTGGAAGTGTAAATTGAAATTTTGCAGACGCAATTTGAGAAGTTAGGTGCAACATTAAAGAACAGAGCAGATTAAACATGACCGATGGGGTGTTCAGTATATTCTAGCTAAAATAGATTTTTCATCAGTAATAAAGTTCAGGGTTATGGGAAATGGAAGGAAAAAGGAGTTGAGGATTATCAGATTGGCCATGATTTCATTGAATGGCAGAGTAGTAGGCCTGTGTCTTATGGGCATTCGATGAAAAGTGTAATACAGAGTATTACAAATTGCAAAAATATTGGAGAACTCCTAAGGCAAAATCAAACTCTACAGATGTTTTGGTTATCAATTTAAACTACAGAGCAAGGTTAGAATTCGAAGTTGAGGGATCCAAATTCTATCCATTCCAGGTCACTGAGGGTAGTAAGAAAATTGAAGCACAGTTATAACTTTAACAAGAAATATCTGATAGCAGAAAGTAGCAAAAGACAGTCTAGAATGAGGGAACAGTTATGAAAGTTGGGGAGAAGAAACTTTACGTTGCGAATTTGACGTTGTGGAATGTACTAACTACAGTTAGTTTCTGCGTTAGTCATTATGTCAAAATTTAAGAGGAGCTTAAATGGGTTGCAGAAGGCAACATTTGGAGAACAATTAGATTGGATTTGTGCTGGGCCTCTTTTCCCTCATTTATATAAGTTGTTTTGAGTGTAAAAACAGGAGGAATTCATTGACCCTAGCTGATGGTACTAATGTACAGGTTAAATGCCAGAATGAAACCTAGTTTGATTAAACATTTTTTTTTTTGTCTTAGTTAATGTTAGTTAACTGAACTCAAGTCCAAAGGAAGTTTGCTCCTATCCCACTCTTTAAGCTTCTAATTAACAGTTACTCTTCCTTGAACTGCAGAAACAACTTTACATTTCCTGTTCAAGTCTGATGGCATGAACCATTGACAATTCTAATGGCTAAACTTCCCAAGTTTAACAACCTGAAGATTTCTATCCTAAACTCACCTGGCTTGAAAAGTTCACAAACTACAAAACACAATGCTGCTGCAGTGACAGGTTCAGTTTAGAAGAAACCAAACTTGGAGAGAAACTAAAACCTATTTCTGAGCTTGATTTTTCTCACCTAAAAGTCTGGCATTTTCTGAACCGAGCAGAAAACAAAACAAACACTTTGTATTTACAGTGCCTGTCATAAACCCAAAGATGTCAGCATCTTACTCTATTAACACTTAAGACATAAGCCCTAGATTGTAGTCACATGTCTTCATGAACATGCAATAATGTTCATCCATATGCCTAACTTTTTAAAACAGTACATATTCCAAAAATGATGTTTTATTGCTTTTACTCACAAAAATAATAACAATGTTTGCTAATACTAGATAATAGGAAATATACAACTTAAGATGTGAATATTCAATTATATTCTGATTTTGAAAGTGTGTGATAGGAAAGGATTTTGAAAGAATGTTTACCTAAATGGTAAGCAGCACAATGACCACTCTGCCAAGAAAGGGGTAGCTCTGTGGCTGAAAGACACTCCCCCAGGACCTGTGCATAGTTGCCCCCCAAGGATGTCCCAAAACATCCTGAAGAACTCCACAGTCAGCCTGTCCAGGCTTGGGGACTTGCCCCTCGAGAGCCAGGTGAGAGCTCAGGTCAGCTCCTCCAAAAGGTGTCCTTTAGGCTGAGCTGCAGCAGGTCCTCCCGCAGAACTCCGTGAGCATCCTTGCTGGATGGATCCACAGTGAACAGAACCACATAATAGGTGTTAATCTGGGCCCTGATGCCCTCCAGATCTGAGACAAGGGGCCCATTATCGGCCAGCAGCACAGAGTTGCTAATGGTTGCCGTGTCTTTTTTTGCTGCAAGTGGGAGCCGCAGTCCAGGTCCTGGAGGAGCCGGATCCGCGACCTCATGTACGTGACGTGGGACGTGACGTGGGACCTGACGAGCTGCAGGTCTAGGAGCGCAGCCGCCTTCTCGTTGCCCCCGCAGGGCTGGGATTGCATCGGGTTGATGGAGACTTGATTTCAGGTCAAGCACTTCCTTCAACTCCTCAATCCTGGATTTCTGCCTCTTTGCTGACCCCTCGCATACTCCTGACAGAAGACATGGATGTGAGCTATGCTCGTGTCCCACAATACCCTCAAGGAGGGGAAGCCCTGCATCCTTCAGCCAGTCCAGAACCGACAAAATGAGACCCAGAACTGCTTGACCTCAAGCAGTAAGTTGTTAAAATAGTAGTACACAGATCCGAGCCAGGCGCTGAATGGGAGGAGCTCCATCCACACCAAGTGATGGTCTATGCATGACACCTGAAGCATAGAGGCCGCCATGACGCAGGAGAAGCACGCCTGTGAAACGTACACGCAGTCAATCTTTGCTCAGATCCCAGGCCTCACGAAGGTGAAGGATAGAGATTCTGCCACACGTCCACCAGGTCGAAGGACTTGACCAAGTCTCCCCAACGCCAAACCAGACCAGGCACCGCCATGGTCCCTGTCCTCGCGGATGCAGTTTAAAATTCCGCCCCTGCCCCCGAGGATAACACACTGGCCTTCGTCAATGGAAGCAAGATGAGCGGACACTTCTCCATAGAAGAGCGCTTGTCTCAGCCTGACAGAGGGAGTATACATGTTCATGAAGTGAAGCACCACATCCCCCACCACCCTGTCAGGTGAAGCAAACAGCCTAGCAGAGTCTCCTAGACCCCCAAGACCTCCAGCTGAAAATGTGGGGCCAATAAGATAGTCACCCTACCAGATTTGTGGGTGAGATGACTCACGTAGAACCCTCCTTGCCACTCCAGGAGCCAGATGACTTTGTCTCCCAGTGTGCTGTGGGTTTCTTCCAGGAAGCACACCGCATACTCCCCATCCTGAAGGACGAAGTAATTCTGGAATCTGTGCTGATTCCCTGCTGCTGTTGATTTTGAGGCTGGCTATGGTAGTCTACATGTTGGCTGTAGTGTACAACCACCACCAGTAAAACCGTTAAAAACACTTGCTGGGAGGATGGGGAAGGGCATACAGGGCCCTTGCCCTCCCCCATGAGTGTATCCAGGAGCACCTTGAAATGCTGCCAGTTGTTCCGGACCAGCCTGGGTCAACCAGTAGACCAGTCCAAAACATTTCCAGTGGTCCAGAGCCAGCCAGACTCTATCACGGTGACCGAGAGTAGCCTCTATAAAGTCCGAGTTCCTCAATGGGGGTGAGGAGGGAGCTCAGTGGGGGGGAACCAGGAAACAGAAGACCTTGCAGAGTCTGTCTCCTGCATTGTTCCCAGCGCGCACCACCAAGCCCAAGCCCTATGGGCAGTTGTCTTCAGCCACCAGCCTATCACCCACCGTGAGAGTGGGGGCTGGTCCAGCACTGCTGGCTAGCTCCATTCCCCTGGTGACACCACCCTCAGGGTCACTGGCAGGAACGTCCTCAGTGCACTCCATCGAGGCCTGAACTAGGTCTGGGTCATGGGGCGGAGGAGACTTGAGGACCCACTCCTTTCCTGACACGGGGACGCCTGGCTCCTCGAAGAGAAGGTCCTCACCCAGGGCCAGTGTGGCCAGGAAAACAGCCTGAGGAGGGAGGAGTGAGGAAAACACCTTCCTCCTCTTCACTGCTTGATCACTCACTCAGTGGGATTTTCAGTGCCTGCATAGCAGCCTACTTGGGGCTCTGGCTCATCCCTGGGGGCGGGTGGAACTGCGGCAGTAAGAGGGCCCACCGCAAACCCCAATGCTTCAGACTGGGCATGCTGTGGTACGGGAGCGGCAGGAGGCGCTGTGAGCTCATCCCTGGGGGAGGAACTATGCTTTACCCTGGCGAAAGGGAATTCTTCACCCTGCAGGTTGGGTTGCCTCTTTCCAGTCATAGTAGTTGTTGTTGTGGCCTCCACTCTCCCATCTGCCCAGGTGGGCATGGGATTCAAAGGCCCTCCCTCCAGCTTCTGGATAAATACAATTGGCTGGATGAAGGCAGGGGGTGTGACGAGAGCAGGGAAAGCCTTTGTATCACTTCCTGCCCTGCCCTTTGGGTGACAGTGGCCAGGGTAGAAGCCTAGTTTTGGGCCCAGAAACCCCAGTCTCAGCTACCACAGCTTGGAGGCTGGCGGCGGAGCCCTCAAGGGCTGCGAAGTTATGGCGGGAGTCCGGCAATG